TGTCTTGCTCCTGCTTGTGGTTGGAAGAGACCAAGGCTTACGAAGCTGTGGGATATCCCATTTACCACAGGATCGAAGAGTCAGACCAGGGCCCTTATGCTATCATTCTGGCCCCCACCCGTGAGTTGGCTCAGCAGATTGAGGAAGAAACCATCAAATTTGGAAAGCCACTAGGTATCCGCACTGTGGCTGTCATTGGTGGCATCTCCAGAGAAGACCAAGGCTTCAGGCTACGCATGGGTTGTGAGGTTTGTTTTTCAAATGAGCATCAATTAATTATAGTAATATATACTAAGTAATGCTAATAATTAATGGGCATCACAACAGCCATATGAGAGTAGGTAGTGATATAGATTGTACACTCTTTCATAATGAAGATGAGGTTAATAACCTGTCTGCAGTCACACATGGCTGTCAGTAGGCCGTATGGAGGAGGGAACAGTTCCTGGCCAAACCCTGTGTTCTTATTACTCTGAACTGTAGATGAAGAGACTTGTTAAGGAGTCTGCTAAGAGAGTGATTCTCGAGTAGACTTCTCAGTGCAATCCCTCCATGTAGCCCCTCCCACAGTGTCAGCTGCTTCTCCATCTGAGGAAGTACCTCTTGATTATGCCCCCTGTCCAGCCCCTGGCTGGTACTCAGAAACCCATTCATTCCTGATGGAAACGGAAGGTAGCGGATGATTTCATGTAAGGTTCTCAGGAACCTTAAGTACCAAATCTGACTGGAGGTTGGGGTCCAGGTTTCTTATCATTGAAGGCCTGTTGCTAAGTGGGTGGATAGTTCACAGCAGAGGAAAAAAGGAAGGAAGTTGCCTGCTAAGGCCATGTATGATTACGCCGTATTTCCCAGATTGTGATCGCCACCCCAGGACGTCTCATTGATGTGCTGGAGAACCGCTACCTGGTGCTGAGCCGCTGTACCTATGTGGTTCTTGACGAGGCAGACAGGATGATTGACATGGGCTTTGAGCCAGACGTGCAGAAGATCCTGGAACACATGCCTGTCAGCAACCAGAAGCCGGACACAGATGAGGCTGAGGACCCAGAGAAGATGTTGGCCAACTTTGAGTCAGGAAAACATAAATACCGCCAAGTAAGGAAACTTTCTTGGGAGAAGTGGGGCCACTTCCCAGGTTTGTTTTCAGACCCTCCTTGTCTAGGGTGAGCCCAGTGCACAGGCTTCCAGCGTGCTAACAGTGCCTGGGTACAGGCCTCTGACGGCCAGCCTGGAAAGCTGATTCTAGAGAATCCTGCTCCTTAGAAAAGGAAAGAAAGCGCCAGGCATGGTGGCTCGCACCTGAAGCCCAGCATTCAGGAGGCAGAGGCAGGAAGACGGCTCCAGGTTGAGGCCAGCTTGTCTTACGTGTGAGTTCCAGGACAGCCAGATCTACATATCACGATCCTGTCTTAAAAAAGCTAAGCAGCTGGGTAGTAATGGCGCACACCTTCAATTCCAGTACTCAGGAGGCAAAGGCAGGTGGATCTGTGAGTTCAAGGCCAGCCTAGTCTACAGAGCAAGTTCCAGGACAGCCAGGACTGTTACACAGAGAAACCCTGTCTTTAAAAAAAAAAGGGGGGGTGCGTGCAGTGGTGGCACACGCCTTTAATCCCAGAGGCAGGTGGATCTCTGTGAGTTCAAGGCCAGCCTGGGCTACCAAGTGAGTTCCAGGAAAGGCGCAAAGCTACACAGAGAAACCCTGTCTCAAAGAAAGGGAAAAAAAGGTTAAGCAAAAGTAAGGAGTCACGATGCTGCCTGGACCCCAGGTGGTAGCAAATGCTTCCCGTCATTCCTGCCGTAGATGAGAAGGTAAAGATCACTGTTTCCCCGGTGACAGTGTAAGTACAGGTTAGAGCAGGACTCGTTGAATGGTTTAGTCTGAGATGAGCTGCTGTGGTGACAGAAGGGTATGTCCTTCCCTCGGCCTGGGCCAGGGCTGAACCTCCTGTTTTATAGACAGTCATGTTCACGGCTACTATGCCCCCAGCGGTGGAGCGTCTAGCCAGGAGCTACCTTCGGCGACCTGCTGTGGTGTACATTGGCTCTGCAGGCAAGCCCCATGAGCGAGTGGAACAGAAGGTCTTCCTCATGTCCGAATCAGAAAAGAGGTAGGGGCGGCTGAGCTGGGAACCCTGGGTGGAAAGAGGGCTTTTGTTTCCGTTTCTCTCTTGGTGGGGCGGCTGTGGGGCGCTGCTTTGCTGTTGAAGCTTCTGTTTGTTGAGGACCCTGGAGTCTGGTCACTGCTGGGTTGAGCATTTCCCTATGTCGGGGGCACTGTGTATCTCATTCTCCTTTCCCCCAGGAAAAAGCTGCTGGCAATTTTGGAACAAGGTTTTGATCCACCCATCATCATTTTTGTCAACCAGAAGAAGGGTTGTGACGTGCTGGCCAAGTCTCTTGAGAAGATGGGGGTACGTCTGGCAGGCCGAGCAAAGGCTAACCTTGTGTCGCTGCTCTCTGAAGCTAGGATGGAGTGGGGAGGGTCAGCTCTCACTCACTGTTTAATCTCTGCAGCACCTAAGTCTGAGGAAGGAAGGAACTGGTCAGTTACCAGGAATCCCTTCTATTCCAGCCTCAGCAGCCAGAGCCCCTGGGCTCTCCGTCTGGGCTGGGGCCAGGGAGACTGTGTCTGTGGGGCCGTGGTCTGTGCTGTCTGAGATGTGGAGTGAGGGGAAGGTGCTGGGGGCGGCTCAGCTCTCGGCGCTCTCACCTCCCTAGTCCTGTTTCCATGCCGATTCCTTGCCCTGGTTCTCCTTCAGAACTGTCACCTGCCTGCTCTTCAGCTCACCCGATGGATCGCGGGCTTAGACCCTACCCTGTCCGCCCTCTGCAGCGCTCCTTGGTTTCGCTCAGTCTCTGCTCTCGCTCACATGTTCTTCCTCACCTCACCTGAGCTGCTTCTCTTGCTTCCTGCGCTCTCCCGCCTTCTGCGCCCGCCCTCCTTCCCCCTCTTTCCTTCTGTGTCCCCAGCTCACTGCTGTCCCCGCTCTCCCAACAGTACAACGCCTGCACACTGCACGGCGGGAAAGGCCAGGAGCAGCGGGAGTTTGCGCTGTCCAACCTCAAGGCTGGGGCCAAGGACATTTTGGTGGCTACAGATGTGGCTGGTCGTGGTATTGATATCCAAGATGTGTCCATGGTTGTCAACTATGATATGGCCAAAAATATTGAAGGTGAGTGCCAGCGAAGGTGGCTTCACTCAGGGTAAGGAGAGACTACTTACTCCTCCTTCCCAGAGTCAGGGTGCACTAAAAACTGTTGTAGTCTGGGACGGTGCTGTCCCAGTGTCTAGGGTGACACTTCCTGGCGTGTGAAGAGTGGAGCTAGGAGACCCTTAGTGTTGTCGTGTGAGGAGTCGGCAGTGGGACGGGCAGACTGGCAGATACTGTGGGTTCACCGGGTGTGGACCGCGGGAGGTGGACAGCTGGCCCATGGCGGCTGGGTGGGGTGGAGTGGGTACCACTCTCCAGGATCTTTGACTTGGTCTGGAGTGACATCCTTCTGCTCCCCAGATTACATTCACCGGATCGGCCGTACGGGAAGAGCGGGCAAGAGTGGCGTCGCCATCACCTTCCTCACCAAAGAGGACTCAGCTGTGTTCTATGAACTGAAGCAAGCTATCCTCGAGAGCCCAGTGTCGTCTTGCCCTCCAGAGCTAGCAAACCACCCAGATGCCCAGCACAAGCCAGGCACCATCCTCACCAAGAAGCGCAGGGAAGAGACCATCTTTGCTTGACGCATTGATGGGGTCCAGAGACACACTGAAGCGGTGCCTGTTCTTTTCACCCCACATCCCTCTTTCCAGGCTCTCATCCTGGGGTTTAGGAAACAGTCCGATTCCCTGGTCTGGACCTGTGAGGTGGGCTCCGTAGGGACAGGAAGATGTTGTAGGAGGCAGGAGGAGCCTATAGCGTCAGGTCTGGCCCAGCTCTGCCCCTGCAGCCTCGCCGCTGTCCTGGTCACAGGGCGGCTGCCTAGCACTGTCCCCCAGCCTGAACAAACACCTGGCCACCTGGAGGGGACTTCCTTCAGCACGGGTGGCTGCACTGCCGGACCGTGCTGCCCTGACTGACCGGGGATCTGGCATGGTGAGGATGGTGGACCTTGGACTCTGTCACTCTGACAACAGGGTGAGAGCCTAGAGCTGTGCACAGCCTGTGCCTCAGTGTGCTGTGCACTCTAGACGTCCCTCCCCCGGGGAATCTGTTAGATGTGGGACAGGGTGAGCTGACTGTGTCCATCTTTAAGTCACTGAGTGAAATTTGTTTTCTATTCGCTGAGAAGATAAGTTTGTATGTTCTGAGAATAAATACATGAATATTAAGGCTGTGTCTGGTTCTGGCTAAACTCCCCTCTCTGGGGACCACGAAGTCAGCAAGAACAGCACTGGCTGAACATGGCTTAGCTGAGAAACGAAAGAGCCACGCTGAAGATTTGCCTGGGTGACACCCGAGGGCGGATGGAGATCACGGCAGCAGGACCGGTGTCTTTTCTCCTGTCTTCTGTCACTCGGGGCCTTGTCCAGGTTCCCGTCCAGCTTGCACAGGATGAGAAAGGAAGCAGCTGGAGCCGCACTCCAGCCACCGTGTGCCTGACCTGGCTTCCCTTGCTCCCGGGGAGAGTCAGCACTGGAGGTCTCCAGGGCTGGGTCTGAAGAGGACCACAGATCTTGCCCTCCATTTCAGGCACACGCTCTTTGCCCCTCATGGTAGGCAAGCATGTGAATTCAAGTTGCAGCTACCTGTGGAGCCCTCTGGCCCGAGGCAGGCGCAGTGGGAAGCTTCGACTGAGTTGCTCCTCAGAGCAAGTCCCTTCTGTACTGCCAGTCCCTCTCTGCAGACATGGGGCCTGGGGTGCAGTGTACCCACAAATACGTGCCTTTTGCAGCTGCTGCTTCCCCTCCCACTCGGGAATCCTTGGAGAGAAAGGGCCAGCCTACTTCACCTCTGCAGACTTAGGCCGCACAGTAATACAGAGCCACGTGAGCCAGACAGCGGACAGACTGTGCATGGTGTTTTATTGGAGATGACAATGAGGTGGGGCAGGTTCTCAACGGAGCATGCTCTGTAGGTCACACGCTAGAGCCGTAAGGCAAGGGTAGCCAGGTGGCCAGCCTCTGGGGGCCATCCCCCGGGTCCTAATGTCCTCATCTAACCCTAACTTAACAAGCGCAGCTGAGTCAGGGAGCCCTGGTCTTGCAGGAGGCATGGAGGGAAGGAACAGAAATGACAGATGCAGGGGCGAAAGAGTGAGAAAGGCAAGGGGGCCGGAAGCTGCTCCTCCTCCCCCGCAGTCCAGGCCGGCTTCTGCTTCACCACGCTCCAGTTCCCTAGTCCTGCCAGATGCTAAGCTTCCTGGTTTGGAGAGGAGGGCCCTTTCCTACCGGAGCGTCTGCTGTGAGCTGTCTGTCCAGCCTCACCGGCACCGCGCCTGTCCTAGGTGTCAATGCCCACCCCAGCTGACGGTAGAGAGGAGCCACCGTGCGGAGCTCTGATGCTTTCATTTCTGATGTGTGGCAGTGAGGTGAGTGGAGGCCCTTGGACCCCAAAGCACAACGGAGTGCTTTGTTAGGACTTAGGCTGTACCGCCCATACTCCTACCCTCGTTATTAGAGGGGCATCCACTCCGGTTGGAAGTCCCCTGCTAAGTGATCCTGGCCTGAGATCATCGCCCACGTGGGCAGCTTCTTGTGCAGGTGAGGAAGGTGCCAAGGGTGCAGGACACAGCTTAGTACCTGGGATGAGAACCTACGGGGTCACTGTGCCCAGGAGGTGAGGGGGCCCCTGGCTTCTCCCAGAACCTTGGGACCACAGTCAGCCCTGGACCAGGGGCTGGGCAGGGGGTTGTGAGAGCTGAACCTAGAGGCAGCCTGATGCCAGTCTAACTCCAACCTGCCTGAGGTGGGCACCCCAGCCGCTGTGCCTGTGCCTGCCAGGGTAGGGCAGGAGGTGGTCAGTAGCTGTCCTTAGGCCAGGGCCGGTTACGCTGCCAGTTCCGGTCATTGTGGTCATGCTCCGAGTCCTGGGCTAGGAGCCGGTCTTGGGGGTCATGCCCATTAGCACTGGGCAGCCCCGAGGTGTGTTGGCGGTGAGGCTGATACAGGTCCTGGTAGGCATCTGCATAGTCCTCCTCCAGATGGCGGGAGCTGCGCTGTGAAGAGCCGGTCCAGGCCTGGCGGGAGCTCTCGCTGGCCTCATCTGAGGGCATCAAGCTGTCCCGCTCCAGGGGTGAATGCTCCTCACCTCGCTCCCCCAGCAGCTGCTGACTCTGGGGGCCACACAAGAGCTCTGAGTAAGGTGAGGCAGGCCTGGCCTTTGCTCCTCCTAGGACTCTGGCAGGGAGGTGGGGCTCTTCCCCTCTATTCTCAATTCCCAGGTTGGGTTCTAAATAGTGCGAGGAAGAAGTAAGCTGGGGTGTTCTTCTGGGCCAGGCAGAGAAAGCTGGAGTTTGGGCCCCTGCATATTCGGGCTCTCCCTTAAGAAGTGATTGGGAGAGAGGTGTGGAGAGAACATTTCCTTTGACCCTGGAAGGCCCATCTCCGATTGCTCATCTCTTTCACTGTGCTAGTCAATCAGGAAGTCCCCTGACCTCTCTGCCCTAGGTCTGTAGAGCGAGCTGAAGCAGCTGACAGCTCCTCCATCCCTGGCTTCACGTGCAGGCCAAGGACAATCCTTGGGCAGGGCAGGAGCGTGGTTTCGACTGTGTAAGCCTGCACATTTGTGCCCACTGGAAATGGTTACCTGAAGTCCAGGGATGGCACTGGGAGGACCCAGAAGTCCAGGGCCAGGTGCTGGATGGTGGGTAGCTCGCCAATAAACCTCCAGGTATTCAGCCAGGTGCTCACAGGCGTCCTCCAGCTGGTTCTCATCCAGAATCACATCAAACGACTCCTGGACAGAAAGGACACAGGGAGGTTGGCGTCTCGCGGCAACCCTCCTGCTCTCCATCCTGCACCCTGCAATCGGGTGTGGCTGCAGCGGACCCAGGCACTCACTGGCGGGCACTGAACCAGCTTATCGTAGGCCATCATCTGTACAGTCAGGTGCTTCATCTGTGACTTCCCCCGGGAGCGGATGAGTCGTTGAAGTACCTGAAGCGGAAAGGCAGAGACAGGCCTAGAGTCTCCTGGGGCTCTGGGTCAGAGCTGGCTGGGCCTGGAAGGAACTAGGCACGTTCCCAACTTGTGATACGGCATCAGTAAGTACCAGGTGAGGGTGACTCAGTGCGGCGTTGAGGGACGGCAGGAAAAGGTCACTATATTCTAGGGGGCATCTCCTGTGGGACCCCAGCCGCCCCAGTTTCACTTACCTTCGGTGAGGATACTTTGACAAAGACGATGATGGGGGCCAGCGAGGTCTTGGCCAGCTGGGCTGGGTGGTTGATGGTATCAGCATCCAACACCACCAGCTGCAGGGATTTGGCCAGCTCGAATATGCGCTCAATCTCACTCTGCACTTCAGCTAAGGAAGAGGAGGCGCTCACCAGGGGCTCTGCCCACTGCTTAACCCTGGGCTTTGAGGGAGGGCTGCTACGTGGCGGAGAGGAAGGACCCGACGGCCTGGGCGGGCAGCGGACTGTGCAAACGAGGACAGTCCTGGGGGCGCTGGAGGGGGGGGGGATGGGCAAAAAAGGGAGACGTTCTGACTAGCGTCCAAAGGGCGGAGAAGCAGGAACAGAGGAGTCCTCACCAATGCTGGAGCGGGCGGAGGAGCGCTCAATGATGGTCCTCTTGCCAGGGTTGTTGAGCACAGACCGCTTGGCCAGGGAGAGGTCAGCTGTGACTCTCGTGATGGAGATCCTGGTAAGGGAGGTCACAGCCGCCTTCAATCTCAAGGCCTTCTTTACCCAGTCCTCCCTGAGAGGAGACTAGCTCTGGGCATGAGGAGGAAATTATTTTCTTCCTGATTCTCCTTCCATCCCAGGCCAGGGCAGCTTACCTGCCATCAAACCTGTGTTTTAGGAAGTCGAAGAGAGCCTTCTGCATCATGTCTGTGACCTGGAGGAGAGGGCGTGGCACTGACAGGGGGCTCCAGGAGACAGGCAGCGTCCCTGAGAAGAGTTCACCCCCTCCACACAGACATTTCCCACTGTCCTTGAAGCCTCCCCTGACTCAGGTTGGGCATTTCCTCACCTCATAACCTTTCAGAGAGGGTCCCACCAGCACCACAGGCCGCATGGAGGGCACCACATCGTATGGGGGAACATGTTCTGCCTGCAAAATGGCCAGGAGGTCAAGACAAAAATCTTGGTCTTGGTGCCCACTTTATGCCTGATTGCTCTGGGGGCAGAGTCAAGAGTTCTGGTCCCTCCCCTCTGCAGTGTCTGACCAGAAGGGTCCCTAGAACCAAAATCCGCCCCTCACCCGCCGCCCAGGTCCCTTTCTGACTCACCTGCTTTTGCTTCTGCTTGGCTTTTTGGAAAAGGAAATAGAAGATTAAAATTGCTGAAGGGAAAAGGCCGTGGGGGTGTGGCAGTTCCTTCCCCAGGGGAGGTAAGGGGTTCTCCCTGCTTTTCCGATCCCTCTACCGGCCCCTTCCCATAAAGTTCACTGAGGAGGACCCCTTCCACTGTATCCTGTTTGCCCATCTACCCAAGGTGGGTAAGCTGAGGGGGTGGGGGTAGGGGGTACCTAGAGATGGAGGAGGAGAGCGTCTGTTGCCAATGTCACTCAGGCTGGAAGGGTTCCCCGATCTCCTGACAGAAAGAGGGGGGCGGTAAACCATGACTGTGTCTGTCAGCTCCATACATTATTTAATGTTTTACAAATTAGTAACTCCCTTTAGGACAGCTGAGCGTGTATGTTGTGTGTGTACACACTTGCATGGTGTGTGTGTGGAGCTGTGTTCCATGGGTCAGGTATTTGGGGTGTTCTGTGCCTGGGGTGTGTGTGTGTGTGTGTGTGTGTGTGTGTGTGTGCACGTGCGTGCATGCGTGTGCGTGTGCGTGCGCGTGCGTGTGCGTGTGTGTGTGTGTGTGTGTGTGTGTGTGTGTGTGTGTGTATGAAGTCGCAGCACTGTGGAGCTGTGTTCTGTGGGTCAGGTATTTGGGGTGTGTGTGTGTGTGTATGGAGTCGCAGCACGGGTCTCACCTGGCCTTCTGTTCCTGTTTGAGTCGGATGCTCTCCAGGCGCTGGGGGCTGGGGATGAAGGCGATGTCTCCGCCCTCTTTCACTAGCCTCCCGATCCACCAGTCATTACTGTACTTCTGGGAGTGGACGAGAGCGGGGAGGGAGGAGCCGTGAGAGGGGGCGTGCCCAGGCCCCTTCGGAGCCAGGGAAGACTTTGGGAAGCTGGTGTGAGGAAGGCAGAGGGGGGGCCAAGGAGAGTATGATGGCGTCTCAGAACAGTGCAGCCAGGTTCAAGTCGTGTGGCATCACGGGTGTCACAGGAGACTACTGGTTAAGCTCCCACTTTCCGAAGTGAGGACCAAGGCAGGGCTGAGAAGGACACAGGTGTACAGAAGGACACAGGGGAGAAGGTGGATTACCTCTTTAATGTGCAGGAAATCTTTGGCCTCAAAGTTGACTCCAGAGCCCTGGACTGGACACTCCTCATCCAACACCCCACAGTAGCTGACATTGGTCCTCACAGCAAATGCCACAGGTTTGTGCTGGGAAATTTGATCATCAGGGCAGTGAGACACCTCGGGACATCTCGTGGGGGAAGGCAGAGGCCCCATACAGACGAGAAGCCTCCTGCCTGCCACACCCACTTTTCCACACGTAAGCACCCCCTGACATGACCCTGGGGACCCAAGAGCCGGCACAGGTTTGCACCCAGCCGGGCCCCCTGCCGGCGGCGCCAGCGGCAAATATACCTTGGCTCTCTCCAGCTGCTGCTGGGCCTGACTCTCCACTTCTCGCCTGGCACTCTCCCGGTCCTCCTCCAGGGAGACGTCTGAGTCCAGAGAGGGGCGGCTGGTGTAGGAGTCGGCTGAACCCTGGGAAGGGAGAGTCTGTGTAAAGGGACTGTAGAGGCCTCTCCTAACCCTGATGCCACTTCTCCACCTTCTAGGGGATGATATGACCCTCTAAGCTGCTGCTTGTGTGCCTCCCAGTGTCTCTGAGGCTACGGAGAGGCTGGCCCAGTCCACAATGTAAAGACGGGGCCCCTCTGCCGCACACCTGTCAATACCTTGACTCAATAATGTTCACCCCCTTCTCTCCTTTTCCCCTCTACCGCGTCCTATGGAGCAGAGGGAAGGGAACAAGACTACAGATGATGTCTCTGAGACGCCGTGGAATCCAGGAAACCAGGTCCTCTTATCCATGCGAGCCTGAAGCGGCCTAGACATGATCCCTTTAAGACAGCTGGCAAGAATATAGCTAGCCAAGAGATGCGGGTTGGAGCCGGCACGGCACTGCACACCTATAACTCCATCGCTGGGAGGGAGAGGAGCAGGAATTCCAGTTCAGGTGCAGCTAGAGAGGGAGTTAAAAGCCATCCTGGGCCACTCGAGACCCTCCCTCAAAAAAAAAAAAAAAAAAAACCCAGATGGGGTAGGGAGAGGGGATGGTGAGATGGCTCAGCAAGTGAAGGCATCTGCTGCTCTAACAGGATGACCTAAGTTAAATCCACGGGACCAACAGTGCAGGCAGAGAACCCATCTCTAAAGTTGTCCTCTGATCACACACACACACACACACACACACACACACACACACACACACACA